CGAGAAAAAGAAAAAGTCTGCTAAGTCAAAAAACATGAAAACGTGTGACTTAGGCAAAATTAAGGCATCCCGCTGGACTATCAATTCAAAAGAATTAGTTCAGGCAAAAGTTAGGGAAAATAAAAATCACAAAGAAAAGGACTGCAAAGAAAAGTCCTCAGCAAAGAACAAATTGGTGACTACAAACACGAAGACATGAGGGCGGTTTCTACTCCGAAATCCTCGTCGTTTCCTTGACCGTCACAAAATCCTTTTGAGAGATGAACACTCATGTTGAATTAACTGAACATAGGGTTGGAGAACATCATGAAGAATGGGTGGGCACCAAATATTTTTGAGCCTTAAAATCTTTTTTCTCAAAACCATGAACCAGACCACGTTACAACCTTCAAAAGTCCTAATTGAAGCAAGGTTATTTTGAAAGCATACTTCAATGAGATAGTGTTCCTGACTCCCATGAATGTTCTAAATAGTTATGTTGGTATCATATGTTTTTCCTATACAAAAATAAATGGTGCTTTAACTCGCAAAATTTGTGCGATATCTTTCAAAATCTTCAAGACTTACATAACTGTTGCATTAGAATTTTCATTCTCATTGTAAACTTTTTCTAACTGCAAAACATTTGTTTGATATCAAGGAAGCTCACATAAGAACCAGTGATGAGTTTATTCTTTTAAGGCCTGAAACTCTGTTGAGTAATTAGAGAATCATTTCAAGAAAAAAATCATATCCATGAGCATGTCAGCTGAAGACCTTAAGCACGAACATGTTGCTTCTCCCAGTTAATGCTTTTCCCAACTTGTTTGCTCGTTTGGGGCAAAAATTCGAAGACTTTGTTGTGCCGACTACAGTCAATCCGGGGCAATCACGTAGAGATTTAATGAATTCCTCTAAGAGTTTGAAGACACCAGAGCATGGTGAATGCCAGGTCTTTTGTAAAATCCTCTTGAGACGATTTCTCCTCATCAACCATATAGCTCGGGGCATTTTAGAGGTAAAGTTATTCGCAAGAATTGTCGTGCAACACGCAGCTCATCAGCAGTAAACTTGGGGCATCCAAAATTGATCCCAGGGGCAATCCAGATTTGTCAAGATATGTTTTTCATACATTATCAGAGGGCGGTGTTCCCAGTATCTCCAGCTAAGCAAGACTTCTTTCCAGCTGGAAACTTTGTTTGTGTTGTTATCCTTTCAACGGATTGTTTGCAATAAAAGACTGGACTTTGAGTTTTCTACCTGAAAATATCTTCCCCTCTATAGATGTTTAAGCTTTGTAAAAGGACTTTGCTCCAATGATGGCTTTTGTTTTTATCTCCAGTAATGTTCCCCTTTTGTTGAGGTTAGCTGAGCGTCGGGTTGCACTGGAACGTCTTATCATCTTCTGTCTATCTCCCCTGTCTGTTTTGTCAGCATATACATGACATTCATTTATTCATTCACACTTGCGTCTTGCACGCACATTTGTATTTGTTGATGCCATTGAGTTCGTACACCTTGGTTATGTCTATTCAAATAACATATTTGATCTTTCCAAATAGAGTGTCAACTTAAGCATAAAGTGTGCCTTCTTTCTAATTCCCCACTGAGTTAACTCTCGTGGAAGAATCTTGCTTTAGCTTTCCTTTTCCATCTCTGGATAGGATAAATCCCCATTTGAGTTATTTCCTCATTGGGTGGAGTCTTGTTTGACTATTTTCTCTCCAGTTTATTCCTGGATTGAGCTTTGTCTCTTGTGAACGATACCCTGTGGATATCTCTAGGCTGTGAAACCTAGATGGAGAGTGCATTTATTTTGCAATATAAATACTTGGTCTCCTCAAGAAGGATTTACTCATGGTTCCCCATTGAAGATGAACTTTATTCCCTAGCAGTGTTATCACAACCTTCTTCTGGAATATCGACATAACAACAAGCGACTGACTCCTTATTTGAGCAGTTTGATTATTTCTGAATTTCTTTATGTTATGACAAATGGCTGTCTCTTCATGAGCAGTTTGCCCATCCTCGATGAAATTATTGGTTCTCACCTCCAGCAATATCTTCACGATATTTTATGGGTATCTTTTTGGGAAACAGCAAGCGGCGGTCTCTTCATGAGCAACTTGTGTGTTACTGTCACCTTTTAAAAACAGCAAGCGGCAGTCTCTTCATGAGATAACTTGTGTGTTATGGATACTCTTGACAAACATCAAGCGGCAGTCTCTTCATGAGGCAACTTGTGTGTTATTGTCACCTTCGAAAACGTCAAGCGGCAGTCTCTTCACGAGGCAACTTGTTATGTTATTAACAACTTTAAAAAACAACACGAGGCGGTCTCTTCATGAGCAACTTGTATGTTATTGATACCTTGAAAAAAAAAACAACAAGCGGCGGTCTCTTCATGAGCAACTTGTATGTTATTGATACCTTGAAAAAAAAAACAACAAGCGGCGGTCTCTTCATGAGCAACTTGTGTGTTATTGGTAATTTTGAAAAGAAAACAACAAGCGGCGGTCTCTTCATGGACAACTTGTATGTTATCAACACTTTTAAGAAACAGCAAGCGGCAGTCCCTTCTTGGACAACTTGTATGTTATCAACACTTTTTGAAAAACGGCAAGTGGCGGTCTCTTCATGAGCAGCTTGTACGGAAAACGGCAAGTGGCAGACTCTTCATGAGTAGCTTGTGTGCTTCGATATTCTTTGAAGACAACAAGTGGCAGCTTCTTTATGAGCAGCTTGTGGGTTATTGGCAACAAGTGGCAGACTCTTCATGAGCAGCTTGTGTGCTTTAATATTCTTTGAAGACAGCAAGTGGCGGTCTCTTCATGAGCAGCTTGTATGTTATTGACACCTTTGAAAAGAAGCAAGTGGCAGCCTCTTTATTTGAGCAGCTTGTGTATCCCCAACAATAATGTCTACTCATCAAATGGCATCCCTTCGGAAAAGTCCCGTGGGGAAGTTTGTTATTTTATCCTTTTCAAGCGATCTTGGTTAAAGAAGAAATGTGTTACCGTTCTTGGTAAAATTCAAAAATCAGAGATGTTTATCTCCAGCCACAGTGCTGATGTCAATCATTTTGTTTTCCAGCCACAGTGCTAATGTCAATCATTTTGTTTTCCAGCCATAGTGCTGATGTCGATCATTTTGTTTTCCAGCCACAGTGCTGATGTCAATCATTTTCCAGTCTCAGTACTGATGTCCATCATTTCCTTTTCCAGTCACAGTGCTGATGTAAATCATTTCTTTTTCCAGTCTTCGTACTGATGTAAATCATTTCTTTTCCAGTCTCAACACTGATGTAAATCATTCAAGAGTCTCTCACTTGAAGTCTATGACTTTGTTTCCCCAGTGGAGTTACAACCTCTTCCTCTGTGGGATTATTGTAATGTGCTTGGTTTCTCCAGCATAGTCTGTCTCATATGGCGTCATTCCCCATAAAATTCAGAGCATTACATTCATATCATATCATGAACGTAATCGCGGTATCTTAAGGCCAAAAATTGTGTATTCTATATTTAAGTCCCTTCAATCTCGTCGAAATGAAGATCCCAATCTTCATATCTCCAGACAGAAGAAACTTAAATAGGGGCAGCTGTTGTACCCTAATTTTTGACCTAAGATCCCGTATTTATTTTTGCATTTTTAAACATAAGCCAAGGTCACGAAATACGGTCGGTTTTAACGTCTCACCTTCGAGCTTTGACTATGCGAAGATTGTCAAGTGTTTTGAACATTTTTAGCCTATGCATCACTAATTTCTAATCGCATACAAAGGTGTATGTTCATGTTTTCTTTTGTGTCATGTGCAGAGACAGGTCTGAATCAAGAGCATCAGGTGTCGCGCCTCAATTAAGGTTTTGAGTCTCCCAAGCCCGAAGTACGGTTGATTGTGGATTCTCGAAGATTGATTCATCAAGGCACAACCGTTGCACCCTTAATTTCGCCCCTAATTTTTTCAGTCGCACATTCATACCATATTTTGTCATTTGGTCACAATCATTAGTAAATATCTTCATTCATTACATTTGCATCATTTAATCGTGTTTAAGATTGACTAAAAGTCAGTTTAAATCGACATTTCCATTATTCTGTAGTTGAAAAATACCCGACATTTCACTTCATGCATTTTCGTCTGTTTACCCATTTCTTGCATGGCTCCAAGTTGTTTATGTGTCGATAATAAAAATATTCTGGTTTTACAGACAAACTGTTAAAAGCGATTCGACACTATGCGGGAAATTAGCAAGAAAATATTTCAAGTTTTCACCTTTTACCGATCATTTTATGAATCTGCGCTTTGCGTAGATTATGACGGTATGCTCGCTTTATTTTTTGGTACAGTTCGAAGTCTCGTTTTTAACCTTAGACGTCTGTTTAGTCTGATATTTTTATTATTATTTTATTTTTGATTTTTGACTTCTTGAATATTTTTTCTTTAATTTTGTGACATGTAGATTATTTTAATGTGTTCATTTTATTTTTTCGTCCGTTTTATATCATTTTCGGTCATTTTGGGTCTTTATTTTTTTTATTCATAAAATATTCAAAAAAATCATTTTAAATTGAGTTATTTTTTATAATTTCAGGTTTTATTTTATTTTTGTCATTCAGGGACTTTTTGGTCACAAAAAATATTAATTAGGCTTCGCTTAATTCTCATTGGTCGATAGCATAATTTGCGGATTGATAGAGATTGAATTCTCATTGGTCGAAAGCATGGTTTGCGGATTGATAGAGATTGGTTTATATTGAACGGCTTGGATTTATTTTGAAATCATAATATTTCTATTCTTTTTCTATTTAAAGGCTTCATTTTTTTTCTTTGCAAAGGGGGACACAAGACACATCACAAAACAAAAAAAAAAACAAACAGTAATCTACTCTCTCTAACCTTTCTATTTGTCTTCTCTCTCTTCCAACTCCTCACAACCCTCCCATTCCTTTCTTCATTCATTCCTCACACTGAAACACAATGCAACCTAGCGTCTTCTCCATATTCGATTCCATTCAATTCAATGGCGTTGCCTAATCAGCAAACAGTTGATTATCCTAGCTTCAAGCTTGTGATCGTCGGGGACGGTGGCACAGGAAAAACAACTTTCGTCAAGAGGCATCTTACTGGAGAATTTGAAAAGAAATATGAACCAACTGTTGGTGTGGAAGTGCATCCATTGGATTTCTTCACAAACTGTGGCAAGATTCGTTTCTACTGCTGGGATACTGCAGGTCAAGAGAAGTTTGGTGGTCTCAGAGATGGATACTATATCCATGGGCAGTGTGCGATTATAATGTTTGATGTTACTGCTCGGCTGACATACAAGAATGTCCCTACTTGGCACCGTGATCTTTGCCGGGTTTGTGAAAACATCCCAATTGTCCTTTGCGGAAACAAGGTTGATGTGAAGAACAGGCAAGTGAAGGCCAAGCAGGTTACTTTCCAAAGGAAGAAGAAAAATGGCGAGTGAGAAGAACAAGGTAAAGCGAAAAGGAAATGATGAAAACGACGACGACGGAATCAAAAAGAAAAACAAAAGTACCGAATCAAACGAAGAGCCACTGCGTTTCTTCGTGAACCAATTCCAAGCTGCTAATCAACCCCTCTACCCCACGGCTACCACTCCATCTCTCTCTCGCCGCTGTTAACCCTCAAATCTCTTTCATCTTCGCCGGCGAATCACCATCACCACCTCCGCAGCTCACCGAAAACATCACCCTTCTGCAACGAAACCGAAGCAGCATCAACAACACCTCCGACCCATACACAACTTCTCCAGCCATCACCGGAACACGCCATCAACCCCTTTTGTGACCCTTCGACGCTACAACAACAATAACCTCCATCGGCCTGCCTCCACGCGACTACAAACCCCTTTACACCCAACATCCCGTCGTCAAGCGAACCACACAGCTATCACGAAACAGCGTAAACACAAAACTCCATTTTGCTCGGCCAACTTCCCTTTCGGAGCACCCAATGTCATTCAATTTCTGCCATACTCCCTCTGAAGCTGCACGTAAGCTTTCCTTCCTTTTAATTTTGTACTAGTCCACTTGATATTTAGGATATTTTGTTTGATTTTATGTTTAGATTAAGAAAAAACTGTGGAAAGAGGAAGAGTTGATATGATGAAAATCACGTTTTGAAGAAAACCCTTATTACTGTGAGAGTCATCTTTTACTCTTTGTATTTTTATTTAAAATTAAATATGGCATGGTTTTTCTCTTTTCTTTTTATGATTTAGAAATTTTGTTGGATTGGCCCACTGTTTTGTTTTCTAGAGTTTTTATTCATCATGCTTTGTTTTTTTTTTACCTATAATAAAAGATATTTACTTAGAAAGCATTAGTTTTTGTATATATATGTATATATAAAAATGTCATAAGAATTTTTTTTAACTAAAACTTTTTCTTTTACAATATTAAAAATACTAAAAAGGGGTTAGAGTTTCTTTCTTTATCAAAATACAAAAATAATTTTTTTTAATTTTTCAAAATAACTTCTCCTAATTTTGTTGTTAGTTTAGACTATATGTTTGATTTATGTGTTTATTTTCTATTTTGTGAATTCTTTTATTTCTTTGTATGATTATTTCACCTGTCCATTTGTGACATTGGATGACTTTAGATTTGACTCTCATACATGGTTTTAATCCACTTGGATCTGAATACTTATTTTATACGAGATTTTTAGATTATTTATCTGCTATAATGTTTTCATATGTCTGTTGGAGTTTTATCTGATACAGTGATTTTTATCATACTCATTGAGCTTATCCGAACTTTGAGCTTACCTGGGGCAATTTCCTGGCTTGTAATTTATTTTCACTTGATGAGCTTTATCCGATGCTTGGAGTATTATCTGATATTTGGGTTTTTTTATGCTGTCGGCTTGTGATTTATTTTCACCCAAGGTTTGGTATACTCTTAGCTTACTTATCTGTCTGTGGTTTTAATTCCAAGGGAAATGTTTCAACTCAGTTGACTTCATGTCATCAAATACGTCTTCTACAATCGTGCGAATAGCCTCATTCATTTTTTGCTTGTTTACTATTTTGCTAAACTCAAGATAATTTTCCAAAAGACTCCATTTTCAAACCTACCTTTTAAGTCAAAACTTCGACACTAGGTCGTCGCATCTTCAAAATATCGTCCATACCCATTTTTTAGTCAAACGAACCATTTTAATCAAACAAACAATTTTCACCAAAAAACAGATATTTCAAAAGGTTCCTGCGGAGTACCGCAGATGCATTGGGTGCTAATACCTTCCCATTGTATAACCAACCCCCGAACTCTCGATCTCTTTTAAAAACGCATTGTATTTTTATTACTTTTAAGTATTATTTTACATTGCATATTTTAGGGTTTTATTTCGCTCTTTTCCCTTTTCCCTTGGAAATAATAAAGCGCGGTGGCGACTCTTGCTTTTGTGAGTCAAGTTAATTAATAGCTTGATCTCCGATTTTCACCGCTACAACAGTTATGGAGTTTGGGTAATTCTGAGTTTTTTCAGGAAAATGACTCAGTCTTTCCAGAACAGAAAATCTCGTGGACTTAGGGTTAATCTAGCTCAACCCTAACCTGGTTGATAAAGTCCTGTGACCAAGTCTTAAGGTCAAACAGAATTAACCCTAGCTTTTTGTGGAAACCCTAACTGAAGATGCAGCTGCTATATATTCAACAGGGCTGCTGTTTGGAATTTATCCCTTTTTGACAGAAGATCTTTTAGAAGCTGTATAGTTTTAACTATTGTAATCCAAGCAAGTATCATTGTGATAAGTGACTTGGAATAGGTTTTAATTGTAAGGGTTTTGTATCACTCAAAGCTTTGAAGCAAGAGTGTTTTGTGTCTCTTGACTAAAGCTTTGAAGCAAAGTCAAGTTAGGTTTATGTATCACTCAAAGCTGTGAAGCAAGAGTGTTTGTGTTGCTTGATTAAAAATCTGTGAAGCATAATCAAGTGTATGTATTGAAGAGTGTCTTCATTAAATCATTAGTCAATTGTTTTAAGTATCACTGCTGTGATTGAGGGGGAGTGAGTAGGAACTCAGGTTTAAGTTGTACTTAGATTGAAGTTGCATTGGGTAGGTCTTAAGTGAAGGAGATAAACTGGTTGGTTTATTCCTGAATTAATATCTCTTATAGTGGATTTCCTCCCTGGCTTGGTAGCCCCCAGAGTAGGTGTAGTTGCACACTGAAATGGGTAAACAATTGACTGTGTTCTTTACTGTTTTTGTATTTACTGTCTTATAGAAAGTCAGATACGGTGTCATAACATTGAACGTGACATTGAGTATCTGTAGCCAGAATTTCACAAGAAATTAATTCATTTTACCCATCATGGACATCTCAAATTCGCCTTGCATCATTGCTAAAATTTTTTCACATATTTCTTTGTTTGACGAGCCGAAGATGATATCATCAACATAGACTTGAACTAGCAAAGTGTCACCTTTGATTTTCTTGATAAACAAAGTCTTGTCAACTCTACCTTTTTCAAAGCCTTTTTCGCATAAGAAATTACTTAGTCGATCGTACCATGCCCTTGGTGCTTGTTTTAAACCATGGAGAGCTTTTATCAATTTAAAAACATGAGATGGATTCTTGAAATCTTCGAACCCCGGGGGTTACTTAACATAGACTTCTTCATTGATATATCCATTCAAGAATGCGCTTTTGACATCCATTTGGAAAAGCTGAAAATTTAATGAACAAGCATAGGCAAGTAAAAGACGAATATCTTCTAACCTTGCAACTGGAGCGAAAGTTTTTTCAAAGTTTATTCATTCTTCTTGATTGTAGCTTTGTGCTACCAATCTTGCTTTGTTACGAAAAATTATACCATTTTCGTCAAGTTTGTTCTTAAATACCCATCTTGTTCCAATGATGTGTTTGTTGCTTGGCCCAGGGACAAGTTCCCAAACTTGATTCCTTTCAAATTGATTTAACTCTTCTTGCATAGAAATAATCCATTGGTCATCGCTTAAGGCTTCATCAACAAGGTTATCTTTTTCATTGTTTAAGATAAATCATTTGCAACCGAAAATGTGAAAGAAAGCAATGTTTGGTTTCCTTCCTTTGAAAAGTTCATATGGAGTTTTCTTCAAGATTGGTCTTATGTTAACTCTATTGCTAACAAAACATGTCGTGCTCACCGCATCCGCCCAAAACGATTTTGGAAGATTTGAATCTCTAAGCATCGTTCTTGCAAGCTCTACAAGAGACCTATTCTTTCTTTCCACCACTCCATTTTGTTAAGGAGTCCCTGGTGCCGAGAAGTTGTGAGATATTCCATGTTCTCCATAAAATTCTTCAAAGAGAGCATTTTGAAATTCTTCGCAATGATCACTTCTTATGGAGGCAATTGTTAGAGCTTTGTCATTTTGAATTTGTTTAGCATACTTCTTGAAAGCCTTGAATGCATCACTTTTCTGTACTACAAAGAATGTCGAAGTATATCTAGAGAAATCGTCAACAATAACCAAAGCATATACATTACCTCTGAAACTTCTTGTTCTTGATGGACCAAATAAGTACATATGCAACAATTGTAGTGGCCTTGTAGAAGACACCACATTCTTAGATTTGAAAGTTGATTTTGTTTGTTTCCCTTTTTGCCAACCATCACAAAGTCTATCTTTGACAAAATTTATCTTAGGCAACCCAATGACAAGATCATGCTTGATTAATTTATTCAAGTGTTCCATATGAATATGAGAAATTATTTTGTGCCAAAGCCATGAATCATCGTTGTTCGCCATAAGACATTTTACCTTCAAAGATGGATCATCAAGGGAAATCATGAATATATTAATTATTTTACCTTTAAATATAACCTCATGTGTGACATCGTCTTCTATCAAGCATTCATCTTCAGTGAACTTGATCTTGAAGCCTTTGTCACAAAGGTGGATAATACTAAGAAGGTTGTGCTTTAGTCCTTCAACATAAAGAACATCTTCAATGGATGTGAAATATGGAGCACCAACTTTGCCTTTGCCAAGAATTCTTCCCTTATTATTGTCTCCATAAGTGAAGAAACCATTGGCCTTTAGCACTAGATTTGAAAATTGGTTTATGTCTCCTGTCATATGCTTTGAACAACCACTATCAAGATACCAAAGATTGCATGTGGTATTAAAGCATACCTACAAAATAAATTAGGTTTTATTAGGTACCCAAGTTGCTTTGGGTCCTTCATAATTAGTATATTTCTTTACCCACACATAATGTCCACTTTCCACACTAAAGTTTCTAACATACGCATTAGGTGTGTGGCCTTTAATACCACAATAAAAACAAGTAGGGTCAAATTTACTTCTATATCTAGAAGGGTAATATTTCTTTTTAAGAAATGTTTTATTTTTAGGATAATGATGAACCACTTTAGGTTTGTTCACTTTCTCTTTGGATGATTGATCACTAGCCTTAACAAAGATAGTTTTATTAGAATTTGGTTTTGAAAA